GATACATACGAAAACTAGTCACAATCTCTTGAATAAATGACTTCAATTATGAGTGTTTGCTGCTGTGTTCACTTTTGTGTCAAGTTGCAGAACGAGACTGGATTTGTTTTGTGCAAACCCTCCACTCTGCTAGTCATTCCTAATTTTGCAACATCAAGGCATCTTACACGTGGCATTTTGAATGTAGATAATAGATGAACTTTTAGGCATTTGCGAACGACCCCTGGGCGTTGCCAGCTTCGACGCCACGCCCTAGTTTGCCATCATAAACCTGGCTACTGCAAAACCTCGAGCAGACCAACCACCGCTGGAATACGTGATCATCATATGCAGACAGTAGTGCTGGAAGCACGTGTTGTTGACAAGTAGCCGTTTTTTTAGTAAACTTCAAAATTATCATCATAAATTGGGGTTTTAGACAGATTTGGATAGTTCATTTGATCTACTTGTGAAAACTCTGTGGTCTCGGTTGAATTTGAACCCACGACAGCAAGGGGTAGGCCTGAGTTCAGTCAACACTCTAACCACCCGAGTTACGACGCTCCACCAGGAGCCGTGAGTTTAATCACACGTGGGTCAAGTTACTCGCCCAGCCTCCTGCACTGTATGGAATCTATCAATTCTGATACAGTAAACTGACTGCCCAAGCAGTATTTCCTGAGCAGTCACTCTAGAATCCACCAGATGACTACCAGGCGCACTTAATTAGTAGGAGGGTTTGGACAGATTTGAATAGTTTCTTTAACCCATTTGTGAACGGCTTGATGGCCTCGGTTGGATTCGTGCTCACGACACTGACCCTTGCTGTTATAGGTCCGAATACCACCGAGGCCGACGAATTGTTTACAACTCAGTCAAGCGAAGGCTATTGTCGCACTGAAAATGAGACCCAAAGCGGTCACCGAGGTGGCTGTTTGAAGAGTCGTCTGGTCCGGTCCGGTCATTCCAGCCCTCATCAACACTCACCAAATCACGATAAGGGGGTTCCTTGACCTAGCTCTTGCATACACGTTTAAAAATTTCCTTTATCATAGTGGTTGGCAGCTGATATTGGTGCTTACGTGGAGACCCCAGATGTGTTCGTAAAGTGGCGCTTTGATCGTACGTAAGTTAGCCGGTCAGTGAATACTTCCCACACAAGCAATAAATGGCCCGCCTGTTCCTAGAAGATATTTATTATATCGTGTCGATTAGAAGGGTTGTATGGGCCGCTATGGGAATTTGCAGTGGGAATTGACACTCACTATCGTAGTTGTCCAAGAGGACTTCTGACACGCAACAGATATCCACATTGTGCTGATAAAAACTGCGCCCCCTCAGGCTTTGTGTACCAGGTCTAAGAGTGTTTAGCATTTTCCAGTACAAAAGGTCTGCTCTTGATTCTGTAGTCCATTTTGCATGCTATTCAACTTTGTCATCGGAAGAGGATTGCTGAGCGTGTCGGTTCCGACGGATGGTTCGCCAACAGCTGCTCGAACGTTCTTTTTTCTTAAGTCGTCATCCTCCTTCGCGATAGTTTATAACCTATTTGGCGTGCCAGATGACGGATCTTTCTACACTCCGCTGGAACCGTTGCTGCTGAACTCTCAGACCCGAGAGACCGCTTGTCTCGTAGCTATCCATAGTTTAAAAATGTCCATCTGTCATCCGTGGACACGTGTGGCAGCCGGTAGCTAGACTGATGGATAGATACGCGCCTTCCACCCACGAAGCACATCAGGATCAAACATCCTGGTGACGGGGCCGTCTTTCAGCATGTTACCGCAACACGTGCCTTCTAAATTCGCGCTTCGTATTGCTAATTCTTTAAGCTATGATCTTGATGCATGGCGTGCAATTTATGTGGGCGAACTGTTTCCGCCTTGTTGACTATCAGTCATTAGTGCTTAACTCACCCCCCCCCGTAGACCCACATTTGAC